AATAGTATATTAGGTATTAAGTTTGATAAACGCCATTTTATACACGAATTTAATTTAGGCACGAGCGAGCTTGCGAGCGAGTGCTTAAATTAATGAGTGTATAGAAAAGTTTATAAACGAGGTTTATATCCTATAGAGCGCCATCTATGAAACAATAGGGGAGTCTGTGTGTCACCGTCAAATGTCAAATTTTTACATTTTATAAATACAGATTATAAAGATTATAAATCGTATTTCCAGAAAATGGACAGTTTTTTACAGTGAAAGTAAAGAAAATGTTTTATGAGCACTTTACAGTGGAGTCCGTGCCCGAATTTAAGTTATAGCTTACTGCGGGCGAAATTACAAAACCCAGTATCTATCTTCGAAAATCTCTTGCTTTTATTTATTATAATTAAAACTTTCTAAAACACAGCAAACTGTTAATTATTATAGGTTAGGAACCAACCATAGAACAACACATATTCCCGCCAACGGTTGGCCAACCTGCCGCGCACTGCACCGTCTTACCCTTAGAAAGAAAAAAACAAGGTCTTACCAGAGACCACAATCCACATCCTGGATTGTGCCAGAGACAACACCTTAAAATCCTTAAATCTAGTGTTTTTTGTTTCCCCTAGACAGGTCTGCCATACTTTTTACAACATTCGTATATTGTCAAAAGTCAAATGTATTTTAAGTAAAGTTTAAGTTTTTTCAACATTCAAGTGTTGCAATAAGTATTTATACAATATCTGCAAGTCTCCAAAACTATTAGTGACGTCTTTTAATGTAAATACAACTCTTTGGGTTTCTGCAACATACGATAATTGCCAAAACTCTTTGAGTTTCTGCAACATATGATAATTGCCAAAACTATGTATAATATTTAACTTTTCTCCATAACAGCTTTACTTTTTCCCATAAAGCACAATCGCATAAACATTAACAATTACAAAGTGAGTTTTTGCAATCTATGACAATTGCAAAAAGTATTTTAACTTTTATACTCTTTTAATTAATAAGGTTTTTCAACACACGAGTGTTGCAATAACTATTTATACAATAACCTGCAAGTCCACAAAAGTATTAGTTACACCTTTTAATGTGAATAGCTACATACAACTCTTAGACTTTTTACAATATACGATAATTGTCAACACTCTTAGAGTTTTTGCAATATATGATAATTGCCAAAACTATGTATAATATTTAACTTTTCTCTATACAAGCTTTACTTTTTTCCATATAACACAATTGCATGTCATTAAATAGCAAAACGGCGTTCCATAGTAAACTTTTCTCAGACCCAGTGTTTGTTTAAACACTTAGGGCCGGTTTTTCAATCGTTGGTTAAGTTTATCTTACGGTTAACTTTCTTAGATACTATTGTGTTAACAATAGTATCTAAGGAAATTAACCGTAAGATAAACTTAACCAACGATTGAAAAACCGGCCCTTAAAGTATGATCTTTATCAAATTTTAAAATAAAAAACTACATATGAAGCGTATAAATTTTAAATCAGGCATTCGAAATTTCCGAAAAAAAAAGTTTTATTAGGAATACGATTTTAACTGGTACCATGGCAAATGATGTTTTTAAAACATTAAAGATCCTGATTTGTTTATACCTTTAATTTATACCTTATTTTTTATTTATTCATACACAAAACATTACTAGGTAGCCCAAAAGCGCACAATATGAGGTTCTATGGTATTCTCTGTACCGCTATAGCGTAATTATCCAAAATTGCTATAGTTCATAAAATACCCTGTATATACAGGGTGTTTCACATTCGTAGTCCATTAGAAGTCTCCAGGGAACGAAAAAAGATATCGAAATGAAATTTTAAAAGCGTTTATAATCTATTTAAGTAAATGAATTAAGTTTTTAACTTTTTAAGTTAGCCTAATTTGCCCTGGGTTTCTCAGGTAATTTGTTAAAAAATTATTAACTCGAAAACTATTTACTTTAGTTATAGGACATGGTGTAATAGTTTTACTCAGAATTTTATGAAGATTTTAAAAGTTGTAAAAATATATGGGGTGTTCCAAATAACAAAGTTGAAGTGAATTTTTTTTCAAAATATTTTAGAAAAATAGACTTAAATGGATAATAAACGCTATTAAAATTTCAAATCGATCTAAGAAATTTCTAATGGACCACAAATGTGAAACTCCTGTATACAGTGTGGTTATCACTTATAAAATAAAATTCGTTATTCGAGGAAAAAAGATTTTTATTAAAAACGGTCGGACAGGTAAACTTTAGTTTTTTATTTTAAATCTTAAAATTATATATTTTTTTTGCCCCCACCATTTCCCACCAGCACATTTATCTTTAATAATAAGCCTATTTTTTTCATGAAAAACAGAGTACGACGATAACCCATAAATACGGTTAAGTAAACACAGTTTTTCATTCAGGGTGGAATGTAATGACTTTTATTTTAAAATAAATTAAAAATTTAATTTTATAAATATTCACTTCCTGACACTTAGGTTTTCAACTAATAAATTGTTCCCGCACTCTGTTTAAAACCTCCCGTGTTATGTTCCTAATTTTTGCGGTTATTCTGTTTTTTAATTCATTTGCAGGTTGTGTTATAAACACCCTGTTCTTTAAATGTCCCCATTGAAAAAAGTCTAGAGGGGTTAGAACTGATAATCTTGCTTGCCATTCTATGAATCCTCTTCTTCCGATCCACTTCTGTGAAGAGTATCATTTAAATAATTCCGTACAGGAGGAGCATAGTGGTGCACCGTTTTGTTAAAGCCATATCCTTTCATTGGAAAGATTATGTTCCAATGGATTTAGAGTTGAAACAACTTGTTCTTTTGCATTTCCAGATATCTTGTCCCGTTAAGATTATCAATGAAACAATAACTGACCAAACGTTGGTTTTCTGAGGAAGTGGGCTATGACTTTGTCGCATCCAGTAAGGTTTTTCTTCTGCTCAGTATCTGCAATTCTGCCTATTTACCTCGCCATTTAGAAGAAATGTTGATTCATCAGAATATCTGCAGAAGAAATAACATTCCAGTTTAACACATCCAGCATTTGCTCGCAAAGTTGCAATATTCTATCAGAATCACAGTCAATCAATTCTTGTAAGTGTTGTAGTTTATATGGATGCATTTTTTTGAGTTTTACACATCTTAAAACAGTCGAATGACTAACGTCGTTTTTACGTGCAACCTGACGCGTATAAGTTGTTGGATCTTCTTGAAAAGCTAATAAAGTTATAACTTTCACATTTTTATCAATAAAATGAGGCGTCATGCGTAATTGTGTATTTTTTTTACACAGTCGCCTTAGAAAGTGATAGTGTTTTTATTAAAAAGGTTTGCAACTTGCTTTTGTGATCTGAACAATGTGCAGTGCACATAGCACCGTAACCAATTATCGAATGTAATACTACTAAAGGTAGCCGGATATTTTTGTAACTTTTCAGGAAAACTTGTGGGTTTGAAGTATTAATTTGTCGAGAAGAAATTTGGGCGATAAAATCACGAAAGCGTAGCTCGCAATCGAACCTCTAGTGGTATTTGTTGAGAAAATCCCACAAGTAAATAAATTAAGTCTTTTTTGTGTCACTTTGGCATTTGTCTCCTTCCTTTTTATCCGTCAGAAAACCCTATTTTTCCAAGTGTGTCCAAGGTTTAAATTTACAGGAGTGGAATTGTCATTAATATTTCTATTCGCAAATTTACAGCACAAAGCGAGAAATGTTTTACTAATAATACAAATTTAAATAATGCAAAAAAGTGCAAAAATGTAAACAATGCAAACAGGACGAACCAAAAAACGGCACATGTATTAAAATAATCATGTGAAATGTAGAATATATTACATATTTCATTATTGAAACTTTTGACTGAGACTAAAAAATCTGATTTATTAGTATTTGGTAGTTTCCACATAAGAAACCAATAGCACTGTAAAACTTCTACACTAATAGAAAAAAATAAAGGATAAATTCTTTTTTGCGATTTTTCGGATAGATCTTTGTTAAAAATGGTCGTAATGGAGCCGTAAAAAAAGCAATTTGAAGCTTGAAGTACTGTCCGTTCAGGCTAAGTTGAGCGGTCTAAGGAATGTCACCCTGTCCATCATCTCTATGTTCAGGCACAATTAAATACATTTATTTTGGTAGCCGCTACGAACAAACGGCAAGTCCCGGCACTGATAAATCATCTTCTTGTTACCGAAATCTCGCGACGATTCGATATTTAATTTAATCAACGGCAACATTGTCCCCTGCCAAAGCGCTCAACTTAGCCTGAACGGACTGTATCTAGTTTTGATATTTTTAGATGAAAAACGTGCAACGCTCAAATCCCAACGATTACCGTAATAAAAAAATTCGAAATTTTTTGGCTTTCTTTTTTGGTCCACAGAATGTTCTGACTTAACCACCAATGAATAAAAATGTTCTACAAGAATTTGCTATTGTTTTCCATACTCTGTATTTACATTTACTAAATATCATTTAGTGGCTAATTTTAGTCCATGAACTGGACTGGAAACATAAAAAATTAGGCAAATGGGACTAATATTGAAAAAAACTTAAAATATGAAAAAAAAAATCAATAAAAAAACCTGAAAAAAAACAAAAAAAAACGGACCGTTTTTTTCAAGTCGCATCTCTAATCGTCGTACGTAATTTTCGATGAAAAAATAGGGTTGTTATTTAGATAAATGTGCATAATATGGTGGGGTAAAAAATGGTGGGGAAAAACTTTTAAAATAATAATTATAAGATATTTAAATTTAAATTCAAAAATTTCATAAAAATGTTTTCTCATCAAATAATGAATTTTATTCCATAGGTAAAAAAGTGTGGTATATCATAACCATATATAATTAATTAGGTACCTGAAATCTGCTTTATTATCAATTATGATTAACCCAGTTTCCAATCTTTAGCTTTAAACCACACTAAACTAGGAAACTTTTGACAAACAAATCGCAAAGGGCAAAAACAAAGTCGCAAAACTCCAACGAAAGTCTACTTACGTCCATGCAGGAGTTGATGTTGTTGCCGATCTTGATATCGACTTCGAGAGTTTCTCTAACCCTCAGGCTCTTGGGTAGATGGAATTCTGCCTGCAAAGGCCGAAAAACACGCACGTTCACGGGCGAGGAAAAGCGCAGGCCTTCGCTGGACATCGTTAATGCCCACAGGGACCATTTGCCCGCTTCTTGGGGTGCAGATATGGTCACGCCTGTTGAAGCTATCTCGTTCCTGAAACAAACCGCAGATGTGATAAAATACTTATATAGGTTTTGTTATTTTGCTGCGGTCGTTTCTATTTTATTGCAACGTTTGGATTCGACAAATGTATTGGTATAAAGCGTGTGTATATTAATATCATAAAAAAATATTTACACCAAACATCAAAATATTTCTATATAACTTTTTATAACATGGTCATATAGACGTTTAAGTACACATTAAATATTTTTATCATAATTTAAATAAGCACGGTGCTGTTCTCAGAGGTGATTTTTGGACTTTCTGTGAAACCTAATTTTTTTATATTCTTGTTAATTAGGTCATAACTAAAATTTTAAGAGCAAAATAAAAAAAAATTGACGGTTTGAATTGTTTTAATTAGCTGTTTATTAAAAATATTATGCACTCTTTCAATTATCCAATTAAAATTAGCGATTTAATTTAAATATTTAATATTTGCATAACTAAAAAAAAGGTTTTTAATTTTTTTTTATATATTTTACTGTTTTGTTGCAATAACCGTTCAAACTTTTAATCTAACCTTTGACGTATACATTTATGTTCCCTTAATTAATATTAATTATTAAAGGTTTCCATGAAACTTAGATCTATTACAAATTTATTTGACGTCATTTTCAGTATACGTATTCTATAATTTTTGTTTAGTTTTTAAAGTGTTTTTTATAAACAAAAATGAAAAATTGTAGTAAAAGTTACGAAGAAATTTATGAAATTTAACTAAGGACCGGTTTATTCATCTTTAGTAAAGTTTATCGGGCCGATAACTTTCATGTCTTGGCAATATCTAGGATCCAAAGAAATTATTCGTCAAATAAATCAAAAATGAATAAATCGGCCCTAAATAAAATGTGGCACCCTTAGAATTATTGTTTAATAAATGTATACTATACATTTAACCTTAAATTAAAACTTTAAACGTGTATTACAACAAAACAGTAAAAGATATAAAAAATGTATAGAACTTTTTTTAGGAAATTAACTAATCTTTAATCTGATTTAAAAAGTTATGATAATATTTAAATAAAATCGCAAGTTTTAATTGGAGAATTGAAAGTGTGTATACATATTTTTAATAAACATCCAATTAAAACAAAATTAACCGCCAAATTTTTTTTATTTTGCTCTTAAAATTTTAGTTATGACCTAATTAACAATTGTTAAGAATATAAAAAAAAGAATATAAAAAAAAAATTCGGTTTCACAGAAAGTCCAAAAATCACCTCTCAGAACAGCACCGTGTAAGAAGAGACAGTGAGGGACTAAAGCTCTCTCTAATTTTTACAGTTTTACAGTTTGTTTACCTTCATTTTGATTTTTTTTCAGTCACATTACGTAGAATTGAAGTTAGGTATCTGTCACTAATAGTAGAATTAAGGTTAAGTATCTGTCACTTCTAACCTCAATTTTAATGTTAGTAACAATAAGGTACTTCAACTTTTAAATTTACCATAGTTATAACCAAGGTCTATTCTATCTCGTACTAAAAATACTAAAAATCACTGCAACACTGCACAGTGTTTAACGCCGGCCATTTTTGTTGTTTACACTTTATTTGGGTTTGTGCTACTGTTTATACAGATTATTAATCGTTTTAAACCTTGTGTTTCATACAGAGGCACTAGTAAGCCTTAAAAGATGCCTTAAAGTTCTAAGAACAACCATTTTACTCCTCTTTTGACATTTGACAGTTGTATTAAGGCTTACAAGTGCCTCTGTAAAAAACATAATGTTTAAAACGATTATTAATTTATATAATCAGCACAAGCCCAAAGCACAAGAATTTCTTTTATAATATTTGAAGAATTGTAAACAACAAAAATGGCCGCCGTTACTCTGTGCAGTGTTGCAATGATTTTTAGTATTTTTAGTACAAGATAGAATAGACCTTGTTGTGTGGATTGTGGTTACTGATACGTGGTGAAAATGTACGAAAGCGCTACTCCATTACTATAATCTATTATTTATAATGATTTTTATATTTTTCTACGCTTTTTTCTCATTAAGAAGTGATATTAGAACGGTCATATTTCGTATATCATTCCTGTCCTAGCAACAACTGTTATCTGGTGAGGAATAGGTCATTTTTCCAGGGACCATTGACGACGCTACATATTTAAATATTTAAACGTCAGATTTAAAGAATTTTAAGAAGTTTTTTCAATTTCTAAATGGCTGGCAACGGGCCTAGGAGAGGCCTTTTATCTTTCAAAGCTCAATAAAAAATATTGACAATCATTATAACTATTAGGAGAAATATTAAAGAGTTTCTGCAAAAAAAAAAGAATGACAAAACAATAAAAAAATCACTTAAATAATGACCACATAGGTTGATAATGACAACTAAATATTTTTTTTTTCATTTATCCAGCTACAGTTGTACCAACATAAACAAGAATCTTGCCAGCTAAAACACAAAATAGGTAAAACTGGCTCAACGTCTGATCTCAATTACTCATAAGGTATGTCTCATTAGTACAGATGGGATTTTAGGGTGCAAACTTTAGAAAAATAAGTACCTAAATAGTATTTTCTTGTTTTAGGTGAGAAAATTCTTAATGAATTTAGCTCGTCTGCTAATTTTACGGCTGATGCCATTGGCTGGCCATGTCACGTGATATCGGCTTCAACGCGCGCGATCTTTTTACGGCGTAAAGTTTTTTCCCCGGATAATGGCGGGTTTACGAGTCACTCGCGTGCGTTTGGAGGTCGCGTTTACGCGAGCTAGCCAACGCGCGCGACTGATTTAACTCATGGTGGGCAATGGGATCGTTTATAAGTGACCTCGCGTGCGTTAAAAGGACGCGTGCGCCAAATCTCAGCCAGTTTGACGCGTCTTGGTTTTTATCCGGGGAAAAAACTTTACGCCGTAAAAAGATCGCGCGCGTTGAAGCCGATATCACGTGACATGGCCAGCCAATGGCATCAGCCGTAAAATTAGCAGACGAGCTAAATTCATTAATATTGCGGTTCGGCGAATTAAAAATGGGTCCATTTTCCCAAAGTATGAGACATCAGACGAAATCAAAACACACGCACTGAGGAACCAGCTGACGTTTGAAGGTGAGCAAACACGCGCCTTTGAAACTCGTAAATGGGGTCGCGTCAGGAAGAACGCGTTGACGCGAAGGCCCAGGAAACGCACGCAAACCTCAAACGCACGCGAGTGACTCGTAAACCCGCCATAAAAACCAAGACGCGTCAAACTGGCTGAGATTTGGCGCACGCGTCCTTTTAACGCACGCGAGGTCACTTATAAACGATCCCATTGCCTACCATGAGTTAAATCAGTCGCGCGCGTTGGCTAGCTTGCGTAAACGCGACCTCCAAACGCACGCGAGTGACTCGTAAACCCGCCATTAATGAAACTAAAAGTACACAAAACAGCAAATATGAGCAGAGGCTCTCACATATTTGAAGTTTTGTTTTTTCTAAACGATTTCTTTCTCAATTTCATCGCTGCAAAATCATTGATAGTTTTCGTAAAATCAATTTTTTATTATAATGTTAAATATTAATAATTATTTATAATTTTATTTTTTTAAGTACCTAATATATTATAATTTTTTCTTTACATTTATATATTTTTAAAATATTGTTTTATATTAACATAATTTTTTATTTATAATTATGGCACAAACGGCGCCTCATAAAAAAACGTTGAAATGAAAAAAAATCTGTTTCCCATAAGAAAACAATCATGCGCATCAAATAGTCATGATAATATTTCAATATTAATTAATTTCATTTACCATCAAATCCATCGGTTGGTTTGTCAGGTGCGGTGGTTGCATCTTGATTGATACTGAACCATGAAGTCAGTTTTTTTGTATTTTCGACACTTGCACTTTCTTTACGCTTTTTCTCAGCCCTTTTTGATGACCGCTTGAATATGTACGTTTCATATTGTTTCAATCGATTTCAAACATCAAACGTCCACGAAGAAAACAAGAATCGTAAATATTGTTTTTATGTGAAGTTAGCAGCGCTTTCGAAACCCAGCAGTGTGAGTGATTCATACATGTGCGCATGCGCACATGTGTGGTTTTTGAAATAAAGGAGATTGAAAGTTTAAAACGGATATCCTGCAGGATATCGATTTTTATCGATAGGATAGGATAGTATATCGAAAATTACGATTTTTTAGTAAAACTTTTTAGTTTTGGGGGCCCCTTTAAGATCGGGGGCCCTGGTGCACCGCACCGCCTGCACCAGCCCCGCTACGGCCCTGGGTATCATGTCTTTCGAAAACATGCAGGGTTAGCATTAAGAGACCCAAATAAGACATCTTCGCTAACATCGACGAAACTACGAAAACATCTAGCAACAATTACCCAAATATTAAAGATGGACAACGGAGAGCTGGAGCAACTCGCAACATTTATGGGCCATACATCTAAAACCCATAATGAATGTATAGATTACCGTCGGATATACATATACCAAACGGCAAAGGTTTCAAAAATTTTAGTCATGGCCCAAAAGAACTCAATTGAGCATTATAAGGGGCGTAAATTGGATGAATTAGATGAAGATTATACGTTTGTTGAAACAGTGGAAAGTGGAAGTGATAGTGAAGGAGAAGGATTTGTAGAAGGCGAAATTTTAAAAGGCAGTAGTACAGATCAACTTAACACAAACAAAATAAAAAGGAAAAAAATAATTAGAAAAACTTGGTCTCCCGAAGAAAAAAAAGTTGCCACAGATTTTTTTTAAAACACATAAAGAAAAGGATTCCACCTAAACAAAAAGAAGTATTGGCTTTGATAGAGCAGAATGCGGACCTTTTTAAAGACCGCAAGTGGGAAGTAATTTATATACCTAATAAAAAATGTTAAATATTTCAAATTAACTAAAATACATTTAATACAAAAAACGCATTAATATTTTTAATATTACATTTTAATGGTGCTTATTTGAACAATGTTAACAAAATTATTAATGAATTTATTACCTAAAAAAATGTTTGCCTTTATATTTATTGTTATAAT